TCTGTAAACCACATCAAATTGAAGTAAATATAGCACTGCAGGAGTTACGCAGTTGAAATTTTAATATTTTCAGTTGAAATATGGTAAGTTTACTCGTTTGGAGTTGGCGATTGTTCTGCCGCTGATCGCGTCGTAATGGCAGCCGAAAAAAATCGCGTGGAATTTCTAGCGAATTAATTTGCAGCATAAAAGTGGAAATTTTAAAGATTTTATCTAAAATAATGCACAAAAAGTTATAATTTTTTAGGAAATGTGTTTTTAAGATAGTTTTCAAGCGGTCAAACTATTCATATATTTGCATGGTCGGTGGGTAAATTTTAGTGTGTATACTAAAACTTGAGCCTGAACGTAGCAAACAATTGCTGCCGCAGAGGTTGATTCGCGTTTGCTCCAATGCAAATCTACCGGGTGTTGGTTTTGCTACGTCCTGTCCCTCACCTGTCCAACAATGAATGAATTGCGTCTTTAACCTTGAGTTTTTCATTTTGCTAAGAATACACACACTATTGCGTGCAATTTTATGTATACATTTGGAAACTTTATTGCTGCAACTTTTTTTAGGTGTATCCTTTGAGTGTATTATTATTCTCTTAATACAATTTACATGTTTGCATAGCTAATATTTTTTCTTACCGATTGCTAGGGTTCCAATGAACGAGAATCGCGGTCGTCAGAATCACGTTCGGATGATCCATTAAATGACGGTATGGTGCCATCAAAGAGATCTCGCTCGGAGTCGGGTAAGTGCAGTAAATCATTTAAAATAAATACCTAGTATATTATCTTTTAAAGTAAAATTTAAAAGCCATAAATGAATGGAAACAGCAAAATTTTAAAATAAATACCAATGTGTGTACGTTTGCCACGAGGGTTTTGTATGTTGCGGTTTGCTAGTTTTTTGTAACAAAAATTGTCCAGTATTTACATGCTTGTGTTATTGTATTGAATATTAAGTATTTTTAGTTAATTAGCAGCGTTTTCTGAATGGAGTAAAATTGTTAGGTAAAAAAAA